ATCATCCCTGGGAACATTCAAAAATATGTCATGGAATGCTTGGGACCATGCTTTAGTGGTGGCCTTGGCAGTGCTGGGCTAAGGGCTGGACTTGATGATCTTAGAGAGCTTTTCAAACCTAAACGACTCCATGGGAGATAAAAATGCACCAATTTCTGTCACAAAACCACCCTTCAACAATAACAGGTCCTGTTTCTCTTACAGATGATGTTTTGTGGAATCAGGATGCAAAGTGAGGCCATTGGCACTTGCTAGGTAACCTACAAGTGATGGAATTCTGAATAATACCATTTATTCCAAACATTTTGTAATCCATACATTTTTCATACCCACACTTCTGTTTCCTAGACAATGCCCAGCTGGAAAACAGTGGATCAAGAAACAGCAGAGATATGGAGCACTGAGAGATGCAGATCTATGTTTATATACACATAAACTCCATTTCTTTTGGAAGATTTATTGTTTATTTCTGAGAAAGCAAAGTAGCACTTGCTCTAAGTGCTACAGAGATGAAAGCAAGTGAGCAGTCGGGCAGATGGGACCAGAAATTCAGCCTCTGTGTGCTGATTATTTATCTGCTAAGCTAGAACAGGAAAACTTCACAAAGTAAATGTGGGATTGAAATCCAACAGCAAAGAATGCAGCTGCACAGATGCACAAGACACGATGCCTTTGCATTCAAATAGAATCATATTTAATACAATTAAAGTAATTACTTCAGTCTAGTAAGCCCTGGTTAAGTCTCTACTGGAGTTAATTAGCAAATGATAGTAAAATACTTTGAACTTTAAATGTTAAATACTTTCATTATTAATATTATTCTTGCAACTGCTGCCAGAGCAGCCAGGTCCCAGCTCTTTGGAATGCTGCAAAGTCTGACACAGTGAATAAGAGCAGTACTTCTGCCTGGTTGATTTAAACACATTTCTTTGTTGTGCTAACCAAGCATCTGCCTCAAAAGAGACCCACACAAGAGCTCCTGTCCTGCTCTCACAGGATCCCAGACTGGCTTGGGTTGGTCTTGTGCCTTCCAGCACTGCCATGCAGAGTGCTGAATCCTTGCTTGGTAGCACAACTTCACCCAAATACCCCCCAGAAGGGAAGAAAATAATGACTGAAGGCACAGGGAAGACAAAAGACAATTAAGAAAGGTTAAAAGGACTGGGTCACATTCCTGCAGAATAAAGATTTAACTGCATACTACGATGTAGGAGAGGTTATAAGAGAGCAACAACTGATTATTTTCCCTCTTTGAAAATGGAAAAAAACAAAGAGTTGAAGCCACAGAAAGGAAAATGAAGGTTTGAGAACCTCTGCAATTCAAGCAGTGGAACAAACAGCCCAAAAGCTGCAGAATACTCATCACTGAGGGTATTCAGGCTTAAGTAAACACCCATCTGTTAGAGAATATTTTGTTATAATCACTCCTGCTATTGTGCAAGGAGGTGGAACCAAAGTCCCACTGAAATCTGGGGGTTGGATACCTACGATTCGTGTGCTCTGCATTTTTGAAATATTTATTCAGAACAATAAACATCTGGTTCTTAATCCCCCAATTAACACTGTTTCCAGCCCTAAGGAATTAATCACAGAATTCATGGGAAACACTTTATTTGCTGGCAACAGAGTAAAACAAATTGCCTACAAACTTCTACATTGCTAATGGAGCAGCTTAATTGGCTTCTTTTTTTTTTTTTTCTTTTTGACATTTTAATTAAAAAAATAAAGACCAGAAAGACATCCCTGGGCAGAGACCTTTGCAGCAGTGTGTCAGCAGAGAATTACACAGCTCTGGAGACTCAGGCTCTCATTCATGGTACTGACCTCCTTTGAAGAGCACTCTGAGATCCAGCAGTGAAAAGGACTTTAAAAAGTGCTAGACAGCATCATTAGTATTCAGGAGGACACAGTGGTTCTGTGGCTTGGTTGAATTCAAAGGGATCTGCTGGTACTTAGGAAAGCCAAAACGTTTTCCAGAGGAAAGGGCTGAGCATGGGGGCTGGCCATGCCTCCAGCACTGCAGGCTGACTCAGTGGCACTGAACCAACCTAATTCCTGCTCCCTTTTTGTCTTTACCCCTTCCACAATGTAGAATTTTAACCTATTTCCAGCTATAAGAGTAAGGCAGTGTTTAAAATATGGTCCCAATATAAAAATCTGCATTACTGCACCCCAGAGCCCTGCAGGCCCTCCTGCCACCCCTCCCTGTGCTCTGTCGTGCCTCTGGGTGCTTATTCCATGAGCACCTCTTTGTGACCACCCCTTACACCCTGCAGCTCAGTGGATTTACACCCTGCTCCTCTCAGTTGCCCTGGAGAAATTCAATGGAATGAGAAGTCAAGGATCACATGCTCCAGGACTCCAGCTCTACAGAGCTCCCTGCCCGTAGGAGTGGAACATGCTGTTCTTCACTTCATCCACCTGGCTTTGCCCCTACATGAATATTAAGTAAACAGCTTTTATTCCCACCAAACAGCTTTTCAAGGAGTAACCAACACAAACATCACAGTTCTAGCCAGCAACAGGCTCTCAATAACAGCTCCAAAAATCTCACCAGCTTCAGGGAGTCTGATTGAGCACTGCAATTTACTCCAAGGTTAGCACGACTTGCACAGCTCTTGAAAACATGGGGTTTGTTACACCAGGCCCCTCTGTGCACATTTGCTGTGGCCCATGATCTTCCACCTACTGATTTTGCCCTTTGTTCTGTGTGAACAGTCCTGTGACATCCATCAGTGACATCAGGAACTGACTCAATTCTCCTCATGCTCCTTCAGACCTTCTTACACAGTATTTCTTTATCAGCACATTCCCACCTGATGGCTGCTTTACCTTTGCCTTTTAACTTCAATAAAGTTTTCTGCATTTTTTTGTTTCAGGTCTAACCTTTATTAAATTTGCAGCTGCTGGAGTAGATATTTTTATAGATTTTTTTTTCATTATACCAGATATCAAGGAAAGGGGGAAACCACAAGTATTTGGAGAAACTACACTGTGATGTTCTGGGGTTGGCATGGGGTTTTTTTGTGTGCATGGAGTGGTTTCCTTGGGGCTGGGGTTTTTGGGTAGGTTTGTTCCTTTGGGTTTTTTTTAATCATGCCATTCCAGGCTGTTGCTTCTCTTTTGTTGTTTAGATTGGATATTAGGAAAAATTTCTCTGTTGGAGCAGCTGTGTAGGGAAGTAGTGGAGTGACCATCCCTGGAAGCATTCAAAAAAGGAGGAGATGTGGCACATGTGGCCATAACACACAGGGATATGGGAGCAGGGTTTGGGGATGGGATAATGGTTGGTGTGAATAACCCCAGAGGTCTTTTCCAGCTCTGTGGTTTCTGCTAACCCCTCCATGGTTCCAGAGTATTTCAGATGGCAATATTCCTCCATAAGGTGGCCAGGAAGGGTTTACTTTAACATTTGGAGTTAACAAAGCATGGAACTCATCCAGTAGAAGCAATATAAACCTTTCCATTTGTTCCAGATTCTCAACTGCATCAAAATTGTTTAAATTCCTCCTCCTTCTCTCTGGGATCAGTTAACTCAAAGATTTGTCACGTCCCTCCAGCTTGGTCTTTAGCAAGGACACAAAATAAAGACACAACAATGAGCCAAAAGCTGAAGAGCCCCAGAGATAAAATTTAAAACACAACATCCAGAATCATGAAATACACTCTTACAGGCAGGACCAAAAACCTGCAACCTCCACAATTAACCCTTTGGGGGATGCCACAGCCAAACCAAGCAGTACCAGGTGTGACACACTTTGAAGCCTCCTATTCTGAGCAATTTCCAATGATAAAATGATTTAAAACCCACAGAACTTAAACAGCTTTCAGTGCTGAGGAGGCCCAGCCAGGCTGGTGTCTCCTGGGCTGGTTTTTTACTGACAAGCACCCAGGAATGGGGTCTGGGCTGTCTGTCAGTGCTGTGGCAGGGAGCTATTGCTGTCTCAGCTCCTCGCCGTGTCCTTCCAGGCAGCCAGCAATTACAAGTCTCTTATCCCACTAATTACAGGCATAAGAATATGTCTTGAACAACATTATATTCTGTTCTTCCATGTAGTTCGTGCTCTCACAGTGCAATGCACTAAACAGAATGAATATTTCTTTTTTAGGAGTGAAATCAAAGTCTTAACTGGCTGATGAAGGCTTTTTGCCACTGTGTGCCTGAAAGAGACTTGCATTGCTATTTTAGGTGGCAACCAACACGGACAAAGTAGGATTTTTAGTGAACTTTAAAGTGTCTTCTTAAATCAAGTTCTTTTTCAATGTAAACAAAGCATTTAATGCTAGAGAATTCATTCCCATATAAAGCATAATGGTAACTTCCAATGGAAAACAGAACTTGGAAATTATCACCACTGTGAGCTCTGCTAATATTCCAACTATCACATGGAAGTCTACACTACACTCAGTACATATTGGTAAATTAGAAACTCTGGTAAATCTCACTGCTGGAAATGTTTCTTGCTTATGAAAATTCTCCTGTCTCAAGTCCCAGCCTAATCAAGCATTAGCCACCACAACTAATTCTCTAGGCAAGGAACTTTCTTGTCTTTCTCAAAATTGGAATTTAAAACCATCAGTTGAGAGCTAAATGGTAACTGCAGTGTCCAATATTTCCACACATTTTAAGGCTTCACTTCTGGCCTGGCCAACATGAACCTCCCCAGATAACTCTCATCCAGAAACATGCCAAAAGCTGGCTGAACCTTAGAGTTTTTTATCCAAAACATTCCCTCTCTGCTAAATGAAAAACAAAATAAGAATAAGAAATGTAAAACAATTCTGCAAGGATATCCAATGGCAAATGTAGCAAAAAAGCCACCTCACATCTATGAATTCTGTTGCCAGAATATTTTGAACACAAAATTAACATTTTATCACAGAGTAAAATCCTGCTCTTCTGTTGTGTGCACCCAGAGCCAGCACACACATAGACATCAATAACACCTGATTCTCTCCAAGAATTGCACCTCATCACTGCTGAGAGGCTCCTCACTCACCAGTTGGGACAGCAGGATCCATTGTTGGCTTTTCCCAGGTGTTGATCTGCTCCCAGGTAAATCCATTGGTTCCCAAGGCGACGCTGTAACCACAGTTACTGTAGTGCTCATCAAATGAACAACCTCCTAAAGCCAAGAAAAAGGAAAACATTTCTGGGTTAATTTTCTCTCTCTCTTTGTGGTAGGCCATTTACTTAGATATTTTGTACTCAGGCTTACACAGGAAATAAAAATAAATAAAACTAATTTCCTAAACATTATTTTTCATGCAGCTCCAAAGATGATATCCAAAAAATATATTTGTAATTTCCATGTTTTATATCCACTGGAAGCCCTTGTTTTCTTCCATCCACACTACTGTTTCTAAGATCATTCCCCTGTATTTCAACCTGTTATTTTCAAGGACAATTCTACAGGATATCCCCATGCAGGAATATTTGCATGAACCTTCAAGAAAGATAATTTTTAAAAAATCAGGAAAAGGAAGGAGGAATGCAAATGACAAACAAGCACAGCATCACTGTTCCTGCAGCAAGGCCTCACTTCTTTTTGCTTTCAAGCCTTGATTATATTTAACCAGGCTTTAACCATCTCCTAAACTTAACAACACAAATTTCTGTGTAGTCCATGAACACAGAGCTTCCTCAAGATCTTTCAAATCAATACTTCTGAGCATGGCCCTGTAGTTTCTGAACAGGAGAATGAGAAGCAGCAGATGTCAACTGGCATTCACACCTTCCAGACTGCTGACTGGAAGATCTTTACTGCAATTCCTGAAATACTTGGAAGAAGTTCACTCTCATAAATACATTGGCAGCTGCCTGAACACCTGTGAATCAAGGGAAATTCAGGAACTGTGGAGTGAAATGTTGTACTGCAGTGCAGATCTTTGAAACTTGGGTCACACAGAGGAACAGAGAATGTTTATTCCCCAGGATGCTCCTACTCTGGTGTCCCTTATGATCTCATGCACCTTAACCACCACCCAACCCAGCCTGACAAAGTATTTCACTACTGGATCCACTGGATCAGGGATCTGGGGAACTCAGTTTAGACTTGAATCATGCCAAGGTGTGTCTATAAAGATATGGGTTCCTCTCAGGGAAGACAGGATCCCTGTTCTCTGCAGATCCCAGTCCTCCAAAGGAGCTGGGCACATGTAACACCCCAGGGCTGCACAGTGCTCAGGGCAATGCTCCCTTGCTCTGCCAGCCAAGCACCAATGGCTCCTGATGGTGCCTCAGGGTTTAGCTTTTATATTCTTCACGTTCTGTGCTGCTTTAGTGTGTAATTCTGAGCTTCACATCAGGGGATGCTGAGCTCTGTGCACAGAGCAGGGAGACAAAACAATTCCTGCTCCAGCTGGGCACCAAGGACAAATGATCCAAATCTCAGCCCAAGAGCACAAACCCCGTGGGCTGGAGAGAGAAAAACAAGCAGGGTGGGACTGCAGGGGCTAAAGCTGGGATGGGACAATGAACTGCAAGATGCAAATGGAGCAGAGCTGATCCAAGAGAGAGACCCCGTGCCCGGCCGTGCATTTTGGGGCCATTTTGGTTCATCCTGGGTGCAGCCCTGGCTGGGCTCTGGTGCTGCCCAAGGTGGATCCATGGAGGCCTTTTGATAAATCCCTGCTTTATTCTTTAGCTCTGCCCAGTCTCTGCTCTAGGGCAGCCCTCACAAGGCATCACTGGCACCAACCAGGACAGAGATATTCCTGACTCCTACCTCCTTCCCACAGCTGCAATCAGACAATAAACACCTGGCACATCACTGCCCTGTGCTCCTCTGCAATAAAGGGTTACCCAACACTGAAGACATTAAAGCCTTCTTTAATTTTCACCCATGTTGCCCAAGCCCAAACTTCATCTCAGTTCCTATGGAACTCCTCACAAATTACAAATATATTTAATGCCATTAATAGTTCTCAGTCCCTTACTCTGTTAAATGATTCTCTGTGTACTCCAACTGTAATTGATTTTTTAAAATGGTTCTACAAATTTCACCAAACATTTCTAGTCAAGTATATTCTAGGAAGGTTTGTTGGATAGAGTACCTGACACCACAAAATACTCTGTTGCTGAAAAAAAGTTTAAAGAGATCAAGCTTGCCCCAAAAAATTTTAAACAATTATATATTACATATTTTCATTATAACTAGATCTGTTAATAGATTGTTATGACCCTTGAAAACATGCCTTTTTCAGTAGCTTCTGCAAATATTTCTGAGTTGTCATGATTTTATAATATTTAAATAATCCTTGCCTTTCATTTATTGCATTTGTGAAGCCTTCCCAGCTTGTCAAAACAATCAAGATTACACCTGGGTAACTGTCTTTTTTTTTCTTTAATTAATTTAGGTGAAAAAGTTCAAAATTACAATATTGAACAGGCTAAGTAAAAAAAAAAAAAAAATCTAAGGGAAGTTCCAGGCAGCCTGGAAAGTGTGGGAGTGAGCAGTGAAAGTCATTTTTATCCCAGTGAGCAGAACGAGAAGCAAAATCCAATCCTGTCCTCTCAGCCTGCATGGGGCATTCTCATTTTGATGGATTCCCCTTAATTCAGACACAAACCATCCCCACCCCCCTGCTCAGCACACAGGGATGGGAGCTGTTCCTTTGGAGCAATTGTAAACCCATCCTCTGCTCCAGCCTGACTCCTGTACACAGAGAAAATTGCACAGGAGCTGCTACAAAGTCCCAGAAGCAAAACAAGCAATAAGTAGCAAAATATGGGGCAGCAGTGCTCGTTGAAGTGGGAATGTAATTGTCAATAGCCTGGCATAATCAGCTAAACAGGTGGTTTTATCCTCTCTGAGGAAGATGGAGTGTGAGGAGCTGAAAAAGGGACACAGTGAGAACTTGTGGAAATTAATTGGGAGCATCTGCTGATACAAGGCAACACCTGAGGAAGCTTTAAAGTGCCTTGCCTGAAAGTCAAAGCTAACCTTGTGGTACAGCTGAATAGGAAAAGAAAGGATAAACCATGGAGAGCCTTAAAAGCAGCAGCAGCAAGACACTTACATTTCAGAGAAAGAAAAGGTTAGTGGAGAAACCTCCAAACACAGAGTGACAGGGAAGTAAGCCAGAAGGATTAATTTACTAGAGGCAGCAGAATTGGAATGTGGAGGTGAATTTGCAGGGAATGAGGACAAGGAGAAAAAGCTGGAGTTGATTTTAAGGGCTCAGAGGAGCAGATTGCCTGTGTGAATCCTGGGTGCCAAGAGGGGGGCAGTGCCCACCAGCTTCTTGCTCTGCTGTATCCACTGAGAGCAGAATTAAAACTGAAATAAAGGCTCAGCTGGGAGCCAGAGCCACAGGGACTTGTGAGCCAAAAAGTGAACAGCTCCTCTCTTCATGCTGTTGTGTATTATGGAGCAGGAAAGAAACCTCAGAAAGTGACAGGAAAGTAGTACAATACATAAGAACATCACACATTTTGGGGTTACTTTAACAATCACAGAATGGTTTGGGTTGAAAGGGATCTGAAAGCCCATCCAGTGCCACCCCTGCCATGGCAGGGACACCTCCCACTGTCCCAGGTGCTCCCAGCCCTGTCCAGCCTGGCCTTGGGCACTGCCAGGGATCCAGGGGCAGCCCCAGCTGCTCTGGGCACCTGTGCCAGGGCCTCTGCACCCTCACAATAAAAATTCTTCCTTATATCCAATCTTTGGTAAAGCCACGTAGCCACAGTGACTCGTGTTCATATTTGCCAAGCAAGGACATCAGTGGTGGCCCTGCTTTCTGCAGGAGTTGGCAGATGGGACACTGCAGCTTCCCTTCCTTTCCAGGTTCAGAAAATTGAAGAGGTTTTAGGAGTTCACTAAAGTAGGAAGAGAAATAAGCAGAAGTGTTGTTTTCACTGATGGCAGCATAACTTCAATATTCAGTATTTCCACAGACACCCCACCCATGCAGATACTTTTATATGAGTGTGGTGGTTTGACAGGAAATGTGTTTTTTGGGATGCTGTGTTTTGGGCCAATGGATATTCAGGCTTTCATGGGGGCACTGGCATTGTGCCAGTGTCAAACCATGACAATGAGTTACACCCAAATATGATGGAATATAAAGACAGGAAGAGGTTAGATCCATCCCCAAAGAAAGTCATCCATGGCTGAAATCTGACTGCTTGGAGGCAGAACAGGGCTATTCATTAACCTTGAAAAAATAATCCTCAAGTTGAAGGGAAAGGCAGACCTAACACTGGATAAATTTAGTTACCAGGTCAGCAAGTTATCATTTCAGTCACATATCACAGAGTAGCTTGAGGAAAATGACAACATTTACACATTTACCAAAGTGGGATGCTGGGTCTTCATAAATTTTTAGCAAGAATGAGGATTTTTGGGAAAAATACTGGGATGTTTGGAGCCTTTTTCTGCTTGGCTAAAAATTAAACAAATGCAGTTACTCAGTGGGGCTGACAAGGGATTGGAGATGGCTTTGGATAACACAGGTGGTGTTAAACCCTTTTCACAAAATGAAATCTAAACAAGAAAGCTTTTCCCTTCCTGAAAAGGGTCATATTGAAGCAAATAATGGCTCACATAAGAAGGATAAAATATCCCTTGTTTTACACTGCAGGCTTGTAACAATGCCACTGCTCATCTGAGTGATGCTAATTAATCTTGAGCAGACCTATCATCAGTTACTGAGACTTGCCCCTGGATTATATGTAAACCAGCCTTGCATAAATTGAATGGCTCCTTTGAATATATAATTGAATTTGCAGAAGTGTGCGCCAGGGGGGTGTTTAAATAAGTGCACAAATATGATAAAAAGAACTTCACGCTATAATATCTAATTCAGTAAGCAAAAATAATGGCAGGGCACATTCCAATTAGTGTTTGATTTATTTATTTTAACAAATCCAATTAGTTGAATGTTTTATAAAGTCATCCAATGTCAAACTCTCACAGACTCACCAGATAAAAAACACAATACTTCTAAAAGGGGATAAAGAAACACTGATGTGAGAAGCCTCAGTGGTTATCCTGTGGTTCTAAGCACACACAGCAAACAGAGCAGCAGATAGAATTTGATCAGGCATTTACAGCAAATAGAGACAATGAGAACATCAGTCTCATTGATCCACTCCACCATTCCTCCAAAAAGAAGTAGTTAT